CTTGTGTCTGGTGTTAGAACTCCTTTAGTTTGTGAAGAAGAAAAGAAAAGAAAAGTAAAGTGTAGTATATAAAGTAGTGTTTAGACATTTGTTTGTTTGGCTGTTAGTGTTCCGCATTGGAAATGTTTTCTTAAACATTTTCTGTGGTTTTTAATACAAGTTAAAGAAGTATTTGGCCTGTGAAACGTATTTAAGATTTCTGTCTGTGGTTAACTAGGGAGATTTTGAAGTTGTTATTAATTCAAGTTGTTAGAGTAGAGGATATTTAAATTGAAGACGGTAGTTTAATTGAAATGAAATCGTTTAAGTGTTAAACGTGTTAAGTGGTTTAAAAAGTTGAAGTGTTAATAGTGTACTTTGTGAAATTGGCGGAATATGTTGTGTTTTTGCAAGAAATCGTGTTATTTCGTTGGTGAGTGATGGAAAGTGAATTCATGAGCATGTAGATTGTGTAGCAAGTTCATTATTAAAATATTGTCTGTATCTGAAGTTGTTTGGATGCGAAGTTCAATGTAGTTTTAAGTGATGGTGGTGGAATTTTGAAAATGAGTGAGAAGAAAAGAAAGCTGCAGCATTTATGTGTGCCTTGAGCTTGGACTGTTCATAGTGATCGTGGTGGATCTTGAAAATGAGTGAGAAAGAAAAAAGATGCAGCATTTGTGTGCCAAGTAGTAAACCATACGTGTGTGTTTTGATGCGTATAGTGAAGTGGAAAAGCAAATAAATGTGCCGACAGCGACGTTTTGGTAAACGAGGGGTGAGGGCAGGTAAGTGACTCTTGATGTTTAGTTTGTTTAGCGAGGTAAAGATAGGGATTTGACATGAATAAGAATATTGATATGGGTGAGCCAATTGGTAGCCTGCTTTGAGTGTATGAAAAATAAGCGGCATAAAGCACGAGACCCAGGGTCGGGTCGATGCATCTTTAGCTGACTACATTCCAAACGTTCGACTTTACTTTTATCCTCTTCGCCACTGATCGGCTTGTTAGCCGCTTGGGCGATCGGTCACGTCTCTTTTCCTTTATATTCTTCACGAAAAGGTCGGCTCGCTAGCCGCCTGAGAGATTGGAGCGCCTGAACTTGCCTAGCTTATACTACAGACGGGCAAGGGGGGACCTAGTTGAGCTTTATAAGCATCTCAGGGGGCACTACTCGGTTAAGTGTCCCACCAGGCGGACTCTTCAAGGGGTCTGACTCAAGATTGAAGCCTTGATCGTGAGGGCAAACTTTTTCGGAGTGAGGGTTGTAAATTGTTGGAACAATCTACCAGAGTGTTGTGACGGCATCGAGTGTGAGCTCTTTCAAGAGAAGACTTGACCAACACTGGAGCGGGTTCATGTACATTGAGGAGCCGGTGCATGCCCAGTATTTGACAACAGTGCGTGACCGATTGCCCGGGCAGCTAGCGAGCTGACCTTTTGGTGAAGAATATAAAGGAAAAGAGACGTGACCGATCAGTGGCGAAGAGGATAAAAGTAAAGTCGAACGTTTTGAATGTAGTCGGCTAAAGATGCATCTAACTGACCCTGGGTCTCGTGCTCGCAATTTTACTTGTGAATACTTAGGCTGTATGTAAAGGTGATTGTGATTGGTGGATGTGTTTTGGGTTGTATGACTTTTAGGAAAATGATTAAAGGAAAGGTAGAATTTTTTGGTAATAAAATAATCCTTGTTATTGAAAGTCATGGGAAGTTAAGATATGTTGGTATATTTGGTTAAATAGTGAAGAAAATTGTATTAATGAGAGTTTTGTAGTAGTTTATTTTCAGAAAATAGCAACCGCAAGGAAGTCGCAGTGGGCTGCCGCATGAGCGTTAAGTTGGAGCCAACTAGCGTGGGAAAGGTTGATTTTTGCAGAGACGTGACCGGCACAGAGGTAGACCCCGAGTTTAGGTGAATGAAATTGTTGAATGGGTGTTGTGTTTGTGCTGTTATATACTGGAGGCTATATAATGGTACTACACTCTCGGTTGTGTGTGTTTATGGTCGTATTTTGTTGTCGTCTGTTATGGTTCATGTGTTAGTTTTATACGCAGACGAGAGTGTTGTTAATTGTTATTGTGTATGTGCTTTTGTTTAATTAATTTTGACTAGTTTGTTGTAAATTTTGAAGGTTGATGCCTTTTATTGCAGGTGTACGGAAGGCTTATACTGTGGAATAGAGAAGAGAACGTGGTCTAAGTTTGTAGGTGATGGCTAGCGCGTCTACACTTGCGGTGAGGAATTCGTCAATATGGTATTTAAAATGGAAGGTGTAGTTGTGTTTGACTAAAGAGAAGTTGTAGCTGTAATTTGAGAAGTGGTTCATGGCTAATATATTTGTATTGAGAATGAGTGTAAGTTGTATTGGTTAGGTAATAAATGGTTTTTTCAGGTTGTTGTTGTTGTTGGAGGTGGAAGGAGCCGGTATTTTTTTGAGGTAGACTAGGGGAATAGTGAGGGTAAGTGACGTTGAAGTTTGTAAAAGAGTTGTTAAATTTTCAATTGATTTTTGGTCTTGTGCCGTAGAGCAATAGAAATGTTAAGTTGACATTAAAATAAATGATTGTGGCTTGAGTTTGGTAATGTTAAGTTTAAAATGTTGAATTTTGTGCCTCGGCTGTAGATTAAAGAAAATGTAAATGAGTTTTGATAAGTTGAGTTTATTATATAGTAGTGAGAAAGATTTGATAAATGGATAACGAATGCCCATTTTTTTTTCAGGTTGGGGTCTGGTGGTGGTTCTCTAGTGCACCCAAAAGTGCCTAGAGATGGGCACGGGGAGACATAAGTGAGGTGTATAAACCTGTGAAAGGGCACTACTTAGTCGAGGAACCGTACCCATAGCTGACTGACGCCCGCCTCACAAGGGGTCACAGCCGAAGTGGGGGTGCCGGCGGTAGAGCGGTACCGCTCTCGCCTCGCAAGCGGGACGTCTCGGGTTCGATTCCCGGGCCGGTGGAAAGTGGGTTGGACACACTTCCTAGACCCCCTGTGTCCCTGTTGACCTAGCAGTAAAGTAGGTACCAGTTGTAAATCGAAAGTTGCGAATTCGTATCTGGGGAAAGTCGTCGGAGCTAGCCGACAAAATGTTAAAGACTGGAGGGTTGTATGCCCTTGACATAAAATGCTATGATCCTTTAGGCAAGCACAAAGTTGGCATGCTGCCTAGTTGGGCGGTGTAGGCGCTTGTGCCCTTCACCTTGCATGGGAATAAGGGGAGGGGGGATGCCCCTCGGCCCCTCCCATTCTCAAAAAGTGTGATAATGAGAAATCGAAAAATGTTAGAGTAGAATATAGTGTTGTGTTGACTAACCAAGAGGAAGTATGGTCGCCATCCAGAGGTGGGGGAGAAGTCGATGTTGGAAAGGAGCCAAGTGTTGTAACCAGTCGCCGTGTGCAGCATGTGCTAAAAGGTAATGTATACTGTTAAGTGGTTGAAGGTGGGGTGTGTTTGATATGAAAATGAAGAGGGACTTTGGTCGTGGTTATTGATGTGGTAATTGTTTTGTACAGGAGTTGTTGCAGTCCAGAAGACGTGATTGGTGTGTGATAATCCAGAGGGACATTAACGCTCGACTGAATGTTGGAAATGAGAGGCAGTAAAGGTGTAAGTATTGTTATTGAAGTTGTACGTATACTTTGTTATAATTTGAAGAGTAGAGCATTTGTAACATTGACGTATTGTTTTTTGTTTTCATGTTGGTGGTGGAGGAATATGGGCGAATTGTGGAGAGGAGCGCGTCGACACTGGATACGGTGATGTGCAATGTATTATTTGAAGGTGAGTTGTTATTGTATTTGAAAGTTGTAGGTAAAGTTTGTTATAAGAGGCAAGTGATATAGGAGTTTTTTCGGGTAGCAGTACCCAGTGATGTTTAAAGTTGGGAGAAATAAGCATGGTGCATTATGGAGGTTGTGTGAAAGGTTTCTGTTTTTCAGGTTTGAGGATGGAGTGGTGGTGGGTAGTGCCGTAACCAGGTTGGACTACTACATGTATGGGGCTGTGCAATGGACTGTGTTGAGGAGAAGAAGCAGCAGCAGCAGGGGCGGCGGCGGTAGCAGCAGTGGCGGCAGTTGTTTAAGATAAGTAGTGTGGTGTGGTGCATCGTGAATTGTTTGTGATAGTTTAGGGTCATAGTGAATTTAGTTGTAAGAAATTGAGTATAATGTAATTGTTGGAAGACGTGTATAGTGATGTAAATTGTAGGTTAGTTTTGGATTAGTATATGTGGAGAATGGATGTAGCAGGTAATAGAAATGTTGGGACTAGTGTAGAGGCATATATATATAATTGGTGAGTGGCGTTGGAGCGGTTTAGGGCGTGAAAGGTTTATGAATTGTTGTGGGGGAACTAATGTGTTGATGTGTTTGTTTTTTTTAGGCCGGATTGGAGTGGTAAGCGGCAGTGATGGTGGAAGAGCCAGTGGTTATTCGGCGACGGAGATGGGAGCGAAAGGGTAAGGAGCCGATTGTTTGTGTTAAAGAGGAAGCGTTTGTTTGAATTTGGTTAAGATGAAAGGTGAATTTGTTGTGGGTATGTATTGTAATTGTATAGAAGTTAGTTGGTAGCAGGCTAGTATTGTTGTTACACACTGGAGGCTGTGTAATGATTGGTACTAGCCTTGGTGAATGGTTTGTAGTAGAGTATGTGTATGTTGGTATTTGTAGCGGTTTAAAAGGAAGCAATTTGGTTTTGGTAGATATGTCTAAGAGAGTGTATGCATGAACACTTTTTGGAATGGTGTTTATTATGGATTTTTTTTTTCAGTGGAGCGAGTGGTGTAGGGTATGTTCCTCGTGGTAAGAGTAAGGAAGGAGACGACCAAGTATTGTGCATTTACCTCGGCGGTTACGAAGAAAGGAAGAGGCACGTCGACGACGGAGCCGGGAATAACCGCGGAGGTTGCTCCATACCAAGAGATAGTGTTTTTGTGGGTGAATTATTTGAGCAATGATAGTTTGCCCAGAAGTGTGGCCGTGAAGTGTATATTGTAGGTAGTATAAGAAGAGCACCATGAAGAGTTTCCCGAGTGACGAAGCCGACGGGTGGACTGCATTTGATAGAAAAGGCCATTACGAGTTGACCTCCATTGTTGTGTTTTGTCGGTTTCAGATTGAAGCGACGGGGCGAAGTCGCTGTAAGGAGCCGAGAAGATGATGTCCTGTTAAAGTATAGCCGTCGTCCCTGTGACTGGAGCCGAGAAGAAGGCGTCCTGTGAACGTATAGCCGTCGTCCCATTGACTGGGGTGTATGGAGCCGAGAAGATGGTGTCCAGTGAATGTATAGGTGTCTGTGACTGGAGCTGAGAAGATGTCCCATGAACTTCTAGCCGTTGTCCTTGTGACCGGGGTGTATGGAGGCGAGAATATGGTGTCCAGTGAATGTATAGCTGTCGTCTCTGTGACTGGAGCCGAGAAGATGTCCCGTGAACTTCTAGCCGTCGTCCCTGTGACTGGAGCCGAGAAGATGTCATGTGAACCTAATAGCCGTGGTTCCAGTGACCGGGGTGTATGGAGCCGAGAAGATGGTGTACAGTGAATGTATAGCTGTTGTCCCAGAGAAGATGTCCTGTGTTCCAGTGACCGGGGTGTATGGAGCCGAGAGGATGATGTCCTGTGAAGGTATAGGTGTCGTGACTGGAGCCGAGAAGATGTCCTGTGAACCTAATAGCCGTGGTACCAGTGAGGGGAGAAGATGATGTCCTGTGAACGTATAGCCGTCGTCCCATTGACCGGGGTGTATGGAGCCGAGAAGCTGGTGTCCAGTGAATGTATAGCTGTCGTGTCTGTGACGATGTCGCGTGAACTTCTAGCCGTATGGAGCCGAGAAGATGATGTTCTGTGAATGCATAGGTGTTGTCCCTATGAAGATGATGTACTGTACTGTATTATATTGCTAAGTGTATAGAATATATGTATTTGAGTTGAATTTTGTGTTTTCTTTATTGCCTGATGTGCATTTTGAGTGACACATAAGGTAGAAGATGACGACGACAAGTGATTAGGCACCAGAAGAAGTGGAGCGACATGAGAAGATGAAGGTAATGTGTGAAGAATTGAGATTAGTTGATGTAATATGATTATATGTAAAGTAAAGTAAAGATGTTGAAACGCATCATTGAGATTAGTTGATGTAATATGATTATATGTAAAGTAAAGTAAAGATGTTGAAATGCATTATTGAGATTAGTTAATGTAATATGATTGTATGTAAAGTAAAGTAAAGCATCATTGAGTTTAGTTGATTATATGTAAAGTAAAGTAAAGATGTTGAAATGCATCATTGAGTTTAGTTGATGTAATATGATTATATGTAAAGTAAAGTAAAGATGTTGAAATGCATTGAGATTAGTTAATGTGTTGAATAATTTGACTTGTAATGCTGTTTTTGTTTCTCCCTTTTCTGACAGATTTTTCAACTGAGAGAGAGTAGTTATTCCTCATTGGTTGTGAGTTGGTGTTTTGATGTTTGTTTGCAAACAAAAGCTCGGACATTGTCGATCTATCACACGACTAGTCTATAGACACGATATCTGTGTCGAGAGAGCTTTATGACTAAACCTATTGTCAATATGGTTAAAGTCAGTTTGCAAACAAAACATTAAAATACTAACTTAAAACTAATTTGGAATAACTACTTTCTTTCAGTTGAAAAATCACCTTTGTTGCTCAATAAACACTCTAAAATAACTTATATAATAAAAAACGGGCTGCCAGAACCTATCTTAAAAAGATAGCGACTTTGAAAAAAATCCCGTTTTCTGTTCAACTTAAGAAAATGGGAAACCATCAAAGAAAATGGGAAATTTCTCTGGCTCCAAAACTACCGTTTTCTACAAATCCAATATGGCTGTATGTTAACTTAGGAAAAATAAAGACATTGATTATATACTTTCTTTTATTATGCTCAAAATATTTCTATGTCCACATACATGAAAAATATACAGTCCACAAATAATGAAAAAATTTCTAAGTCCACAACACAGCAAAAACAACTAAGTCCACACACCATGAAATTTTTCTAAGTCCACAACATGAAAATTTTTCTATGTCCACAAAGAACGAAAAATTTACTAAGTCCACACAACAAAAAATACTAAGTCCACACAACAAAAAAATACTAAGTCCACAACACATGAAAAAAATACTAAGTCCACACAACAAAAAATTACTAAGTCCACACAACAAAAAAATACTAAGTCCACAACACATGAAAAAAATACTAAGTCCACACAACAAAAAAAATACTAAGTCCACACAACAAAAAAATACTAAGTCCACAACACATGAAAAAAATACTAAGTCCACACAACAAAAAAATACTAAGTCCACAACACATGAAAAAAATACTAAGTCCACACAACAAAAAAATACTAAGTCCACAACACATGAAAAAATACTAAGTCCACACAACAAAAAATTACTAAGTCCACACAACAAAAAAATACTAAGTCCACAACACATGAAAAAAATACTAAGTCCACAACATGAAAATTTTTCTATGTCCACAAAAAACGAAAAATTTACTAAGTCCACACAACCAAAAACATACTTAGTCAACACCACAAAAAATACTAAGTCCACACACCATGAAAAATTTTCTAAGTCCACAAAGGATGAAAAATTTTCTAAGTCCACATGACATGAAAAAAAACTAAGTCCACAACATGAAAATTATTCTATGTCCACAAACAACGAAAAATTTTCTAAGTCCACACAACAACAAAAAATACTAATTCCACACATGAAATTATTATAAGTCCATAAAGGATGGAAAATTTTCTAAGTCCACAACACAGGAAAAAAAACTAAGTCCACACAACAACAAAAAAATACTAAGTCCACACAACAAAAAAATACTAAGTCCACAACACATGAAAAAATACTAAGTCCACAAAAAAAAAAATACCAAGTCCACACAACATGAAAAATTTCTAAGTCCACAAAGAACGAAAAATTTGTTAAGTCCACATGACATGAAAAAAACCCAAGTACACACATGAAAATATTCTAAGTCCACAACACAGCAAAAACAACTAAGTCCACACACCATGAAATTTTTCTAAGTCCACAACATGAAAATTTTTCTATGTCCACAAAGAACGAAAAATTTACTAAGTCCACACAACCAAAAACATACTTAGTCAACACCACAAAAAATACTAAGTCCACACACCATGAAAAATTTTCTAAGTCCACAAAGGATGAAAATTTTTCTAAGTCCACAACATGAAAATTATTCTATGTCCACAAACAACGAAAAATTTTCTAAGTCCACAACACAGGAAAAAAAACGAAGTCCACACAACAACAAAAAAATACTAAGTCCACACACCATGAAAATTTTCTAAGTCCATAAAGGATAAAAAAATTTTCCAAGTCCACAAACATAAATTAGTCCAATTCCACAAGAGGAAAAAAAACTAAGTCCACAAACAAAGACAATATTTCAAAGCACAAAATATGAAAAATATACCAAGTCCACACACATTGAAAATTATTACAAGTCCACAGGATAAAATAATACTAACTCCACAACATATGAAAATTTTTCTAATTCCACAAACAATGACAATATTTCCAAATACAAAAACAAACAATAAAATAATACAAAGTCCACAAACATCAAAAATATAATAAGTCCACAATCGATGACAATTATTCAAAGTCCACATACATTAAAAGTTATTCTAAGTCCACAAACATTGAAAATTATTACAAGTCCACACAAGTTCAAATAATACTAACTCCACAACATATGAACATTTATCTAAGTCCACAAACAATGAAAATTTTTACAAGTCCACACACGATACAAAATTATTCCCGGTCCACGGACGTAATACATTAATACGGAGCCACAGACGATAAAACATTTTCTATATCCACAAAATATTCAAAGTCCACAAACGATAAAATAATAACAAGTCCACAAACATACCAACTACACATACACAAAGGCTAAAATAATACTAACTCCACAAACATCATAAAT